TCAGGTAGTCAACTTGAGTGTTCTAAGAGTATCACTGTCTGCCATACCATTGTCATAAATATGAGCTCTGATAAAATCCTGAAATTGATTGTTATATATTCCTTATTGTTAAAAAGGTCTTTTGTAAAATATATTTTATTATTTGTTTACTGTAATGTACTGTATTTTTGTGTGTTTTAATTGCCGACGACAAGTAGTACATTTTTATTGTTTTTAACAAACCCGAAGATAATATTTTACACAATCATTTTTTGTATTTCTAAAATCACAGTACTTGATGAAAATATAAACCCAATCACTTAAATCTCATATATGCTTTAACATGTCAATGCAATTTCAAGACTAATTTTGAATCATTTCAAATCTGCAGCTTTCATTAAGATAATACCTGATGATCCTGCCGTGAAGGTTCAGGCACTTCTTGGATAACAATGCTCTCTCCCTGTTTCCCAATTGTGCTCCTGCTTTGTCACCCAGTCACATTGACCTCACAAGTGGCAGTTTCATAAACATTATGTAAATATGGTTTACTGTTGTCGTCATCATCAGGAAACCCACCCTGATGATGAGGCTATCGCTGAAGTAGCTGCAAAGAGTCACGTCAACAGTACTGAGATGTGACAAATGTTGAAAAAGATAAAAACCAGTATACATTTTGTTAGTAATAACAAAAAAAAGGCAACTGTTTATGCTATACAGTGCTTTAGCAAATTACCTACTTTTCTGAATACCTCCTGTAACATACTCCTCTTAAAAAAACTGCATTAAAATTAGTTTTAGTGTACACAAACACAATACAGTGAACTCTCTGTTATCCGGTATTGAACTAACCGGAACTCTCATCTAACCAGCAAAAAAAATTAATCCACTGTGCACTCCCTGTTTTGCTGATCTGCGACCTTCTGGGAGAGGGAGAGAGGGCTCTGCATCGTAGGAAGGTAGAGAAATAGGCCAAAATGTGCTGTATTAGCCTGGGACCAAGTATCTGAAAGATCTGTGAAAAGTGTTGTATTATCCTAAACAAGTTCCACCTAGTGATCACTGCCAGTACTACACTGCACTGTGCTGCTCATAGATTACAATATACTGATCTCCAGTCCCAATGTCAGGCAGCCACATTGCACACAGCATTACAGCACCTGTATTAGAGCACCTGTAATACAGCACTAATTCTAAGTGTGTCTGTTTTGTCTTAATTTGCATTTGATTACTTTATTTTAATATTAATATGAAGTCAATAAAAAGTTTATGTTATGGAATGGTATAGTATGGGGTATGGCATCAGTTAAACCTAATTTTAATAGTAACTCTCAAGCAAACAGAAACTAAATTTTTCCAGAATCTACCAATTCCCGTGGATGCCAGATAACGGGGAGTTTACTGTATAACACTTGTACACAATATAAAAATTTGTGGTAAAATATACAGATACGGTTGAGTAAATGGATGCCAAACAAGTCAAGCCTTTAAAATTGAGTGTGCCGGTAAAATAGCGGAAATCTACAGTGCCCAAAACTGCCCATAGGCATTGCTTTAAAAGTCTTACAGGTCATCGGTTAGGAGTTGATAAACGATCGCCCTATAATTATTGATCTCACTTCGGCATGCATGGTGATAGCTAATTTGTGTGGCTCAATCATTGTTTTCATATGCGTGTGCACCCTATGCGTGCATTTGGGTTTCTATATGGGGGCTGGGGGCTGTAATATAATTGGGGTTTTATTTATTTTAAATGAACATTTATTTTTTAAACTTTTTCTTTAAGGAAACATCAGGGGTCTATTAGACCCCTAATGTCATCTCTGAGTGCTTTTTGGGTTGGTTCTTTAAAGAGGAAATCAGCAAACAGATGTTTACTGATCTCCCTTTGGACTCCATCCAGACACCCACTATGAAGATCCCAGGCACCCAGGTGAGCCTGGGACACATGGCAGGGGAAAATCACTTCTACAAGAAAGCCGACAGTGCACAGTTTCTGCATTATGAACAGTGATGTCATCCTGTTACAGAAGGGATGCAACAAAAAAAAAATGTGAGGGAGACTGACGTTAGGTTTTGCTGAAAATTAAACAAATATTTCTGCAAATTTAACAGTCTGTTATGTATGATATACTGTACACATGGCTCTAGCCTTAGGGCACTACTTATTTTCTTGATCATACAACACAGAACACAGGGAGTTATCTCATGAATGGGCTATGCAGCTACCTGTAGGTGATTGGACACTGGCAAATCAAAGCTGTTTTTTGCTAGTGTCCTTCGGTGATGGACGACTTCTCTGTTGCTCAGATAGAAGTAAACCCTTTTTTCTTTATTTTTCTACATAAGACTCTAGTTTCCCTATGTGGCTTACAAGATATAGCACCTGACAGCACCTATCCATTTTTTTAAATTTCCATTTCCATAGTCCTATATGTGACCTGGAGCTATGGTGTAGATGGCCTTGATGCTACCTTTAGACAATTATCCAGGATGGGTCTCCTGTCCATGTGCAATGGATCCTATGGCTTAAATGCTGGTCTGCGGAGCTTCCTTGAAAGAAACGCCTTGAATGCATGCCCTTTACTGGGAAACACCTGTTCATTGAATCCTTGGATGCTTACATCATAGACATAACAGGGGAATAACTTTTTTGTACCTCTGAAGAAGTCCAAGGCAACAGTGGCAAAAGCCTCTGCTCCCTACTTTAAAAAGGGTTCCTTTTGTCTTTCCCAAGTCTCAAGATCCAAACCCAAGCTAGGCTGTCGGTTCCATCATAAGTCCAGGATCTCCAACCCTTCCAAATCTGAGAGCAAGCCCTCTTCATTATGAAGAAGCACCCCCACCTTTACTAGTGGGATTGCACCGATCAATTGCACCAGTCAAATACTAGTGGGATTGCACCGACCGCCCAATCAGCATTGATCCGGCCAATCGGCAGGAAGCCTGGCAGCGGCTAATGACCTGCCTCCTGCCTTCCTTGTTGGCAGGGTAAACAGCTGGCTTGATGCTGATTGGCCGGGAAGCTGGTATCCCGCCCAATCAGCATTGATCAGGCAAATTGACAGGAAGTCGGGCAGCGGGTAATGACCAGCCTCCCGGCTTCCTTGTTGGCCAGGAAGCCGGCTGCATGCTGATTGGCTGGGTAGCCGGCTTCCGGGCCAATCAACATCAAGCCGGCTAAACAGCTGTCTTGATGCTGATTGGCTGGGAAGCCGGCTTCCCGGCCGATCAACATTGAGCCGAGTAAACAGCTGGCTTGATGCTGATTGGCTGGGAAGCTGGCACCGATCAATTGCACCAATCAAATACTAGTGGGATTGCACCGTCCGCCCAATCAGCACTGATCCAGCCAATCGGCTGGAAGCCGGGCAGCGGGTAATGACCTGCCTTCTTTGTTGGCCGGCTAAACAGCTGATTGGCTGGCAAGCTGGTATCCCGCCCAATCAGCATTGATCCGGCCAATTGGCAGGAAGCCGGGCAGCGGGTAATGACCTTGTTGACCAGGAAGCCGGCTCCATGCTGATTGGCTAGTAAGCCGGCTTCCGGGCCAATCAACATCGTGTCGGCTAAACAGCTGGCGTGATGCTGATTGGCTGGGAAGCTGGCTTCCCGGTCAGTCAGCAAGGAGTTGGCCAAACAGCATGGAGCTAGCTTCCCGAACAATCAAGAAGCCAGCCGCCAGGTAATGACATGCCGTCTGTTTTCCTGATTGCCCGGGAAGCCGGTTCCATGCTAGCGGAAGTATCGGTATTGGTACTCGTATCCGCTATTATTGAAACAAATATATTACACAAAACGGTACTCGATACCGAAAAAACTATTGGTGCATGCCCTACTAGTGGGGGGATGTCTGTCAGCCTCAGGGTCCAGAGGGTTCCTTCTCCAGAGCTTTACAAGGGTTACAAATAGGGCTGGTAATGATTACAATTTTCGTGTTCGATTAATCGAAAAACATTTTTTATCGATTAATTATAACGCACATACAGATCCACCTACATTGGCCTATACACATACAGCACAGCAGTGAAGTAATAAAATGAACTAGGATAACAGTAATCCAGCACATTATTAATCTCACGTGCCCCACTCAATATAGCCGCTGCTTGAGTCTGGCAACTCAGAATAATAACGTGCTGGATTAGTGTGATCCTAGTTCATTTTATTACTTCATTGCTGTGCTGTATGTGTATAGGCCAATGCCTTGGCTGGCGCTCGTGCAGAAAATGTCTTGGGCAAACTCACCGGCCAGTTGGCTCCGTCAGCTAACGAAGGGGGGAGGAGTCCGGTGACGCCACGGACATCGACGTCACCGGACTCCTCCCCCTTCCCTTCGTTAGCCGTCACGGACATCGACGTCACCGGACTCCTACCCCCTTCCCTTCGTTAGCCGACGGAGCCACCTGGGGAAGGGGGTAGGAGTCCGGTGACGTCGATGTCTGTGACTCCACCGGATCGCCGACGGGACTCCCGGAAGCCGGCGGAGAGGTGAGTGTTTTCATTAGCGATCAAAATAATTTTAATCGATCAAAAAGTTTAACGATTAATCGAGAAATTAATCTTCAATTTCCACAGCCCTAGTTACAAAGCTTCCTGCCTCCTCTTCATTTTCTGCTGTAGAATTTATCAAGATTACCCCAAAGACTGAGGTATATCCTCTCTGCCTTAGGTCAGCCCCTTTCCCAGGAGGTAATAATTCCTGCAACATATTTGCACATCCCCAATTTTCTGGTTTGTCAACACTAGAAAATTGGTAGACGGCCTTCCTCAGTCATCAACATCTGGACCCTGCAAAATGGTCCCTTTCCCATGAAGGTGTTTCAGGACCTTTGCCTCAGGTGGGGGATGCTGGATGTGTACCTCCGAGCCTCCAGGTTCAACAACAAACTGAACAAGTTTGTTCCCAAAACAGGGACTTCAAGGTGAATGCCTTGGTGACTTTATGGGATCAGATCAGCCTGACCTATGCCTTCCCTCTTCTGAGACTCTTGAGTCCTGCTCCTAAACATCCTACATAGGATTCTCTCGACTGTTTGGACGTGGTTCAGGCGATTCGTGTTTACCTTTCTGCTACTGCTTCTGTCCACAAGCCTGACTCCCTCTTCGTCATAAGGGTCCCCCTATAGTGCAACCAGCTTTTCATTCCACTTTTGCTAGGTGTATTTGGTGAATGATCTTACAGGCCCATGAGCTAAATGGTAATGTTTCCCGTTTTCCGGTCAAGGCTTCCTCTTCTAGGAGTGCTAGAACTTCTTGGGCCTCCCAGTATAAGATTTTAGTATCCAAAATCTGTAAGGCTGCCCCCTGGTCCTCTGTTTACACTTTTTCCAAGTTTTACCAAATGGACATTCAGGCCTCTGCAGATGCTAGCTTTGGCCACAAGGTTCTTCAGCTGGCCCTCTGACATGGGGTCACCTTCCGTTATAGCTCCCTGTTGGGGAGTTGTTTTAATGAATCTGTTAGCTGTTGGACTGCTTTTAGAAGTCCCATCCCTTAAAAAAAAAACCTCCCTGTGTCCTATGATTTACAATCAAGAAAACATGATTTTTGACGTTCCTGTAAAATCAATTTCTTGGAGTATGTCACATGACTCTCCCCTGTGATTTTCTGTCATCTACTTTCGTACATTGTGTACTGCTTGCTACAAAATAGAGGCAGGCTGGGAGTGAAGGGGGTTATACAGGGCTGTTCTAACAGCTTTGATTTGCCGGTGTCTAGTCACCTGAAGGCAGCTGCATAACCCATCCATTGAAGAATCAACTTTCCTGTGTGATGTACTGCAAGAAAAAGATATTACAGGTAAGACAAACTTACTGTTTTAGCTTAGTTTGATTTTTTTCTGTTACACATTATTTGCAGAGATAAAATCCATTAACATGACTTGCATGCTAGTAAGACGTAAGTATACATGTGTGGCAGGTTAACGAAATATAAATCTTTTAGCTTTTCCAACCACTGTTAAATTTGTAGATATATTTAGCATTGGATTGGCAAGTTATATGTAAACCATTATCAAATTTCACTTCACAAACTATCCATCAAAGTAACGATTTACTGGTTGTAAATATAGGTATATATAGTATAATATATAAACTACAATTTTCACACAGCAGCATAGGTCACATGATTAAGCAACATTTGCTTTTTTAGATTGTTACTTCTATTAGGTAGACCCATGTATAAATGTTTCACAATTATGTTTTCGTTAGTCACCTACTTATTGTATATATTTAGGGATGGCATCTTTTAGCAAGAAACATATTCAAATCTTGCAAAAATGAATTAATAAATAATTACTGTTTAATACCCAGCCATCACTTCTACATTACTATGAGCCTGTATTTTAAGTAAAAGTTCCCTATATGAGCAGAGGCCACAAGATGCCTGCTATTACTTTTTTTAGACAGCAAATCTCTTTGACACTGTGTCCTGAATTTCCCCGACTTCATGGCTAAGCTTCACCAACTAAAGTAGAAAAACAGCAAGTAAGCAATATTGCCAATGAAGAGGACTACGGTTTTTTTTTTTATACAGTGCAGCCTTACACAAATGGTAAGGAAGCATCTTTTTCGCCAACCAGTCATCCCCATCTTTTTAAGGCTGTGATTTAATATATGAGGTCCTTTTTAATGTCAATATTGTTTGCTTCCTTTTTTTCTACTTTAGCTGGCCTGGGCTATAATAAGTAGCTCTGGCAAACAGCAGAGTAGTACTGTATTGTAATTTACTACTAGAGCCAACTTCCTACTTGTTGCTATAATTCCACAAACTGCCATTCTCCTTCCCTGTGAGATTGGCCTTACTGGCCACTGGAGCTGTCTCATTGGATAGTGGAACAGCGGTGGTTGGATAAAGGAAAATCAGGCCCCGCTTTTAATGTGAAAAAATTAACAGAGAGGGGCAAAGAATAAGTTTACTGGCTAATAAAGGTAATGGCAGACCTTTGTTTAAGGCTGGCTGCACACCATTGCATTGTGGTTACATACCTTACACGTGTTGGTGCACTGCAATATCATTAATTTTGAATGGCACCCCAACACACCTGTGTTGCATTGCACAGTAATGCACTACCCTATGTTGCTGTGCACTGCATCAGTGAAGAAAGCTGCAGGCATGTTTTTTATATGTCCATTCTGGTGCATTGCCAGCCCATTAAAATGAAAATGCAGCCTCAACACAACGCACATTAAGGTGGTATTTAATGTACGTAAAAGCAATGCACCAGAGCACATAGTTATAAAGAGGCTCTAAAAGATTACAAGTTTATTTTAGTTGTGAGGAACACTGCTAAAAAGTTTAGTGAGGATGTAAATGCTATGGAAAGGTAATGCAAAGAACATTAGGTTTATTGTTCCCGGCCATTCCAAATGATTTACGCTTTTTCCTAATTGCCCATTTGAGATCATGTATCGTGTATTTTGAATGTTTTAAGTTTTTGATCCTTTTTGTTTATAATAGTACTTTGTTAACCCTGTTTTAGCAAATGTATACAATAGTATGTCTGTCTTTGGGTTTAACAATATTTGCATGTGACTCATGGCGATGCTTCCCCTTTTATATGGAAGATGCAGTTGACAAACAACCATTACTTAAGTAATATGTAGCTAGGGAGTTGCTTAACTGAACACATAAACAGTGTGAAGCAGCCACATTTTATACTTTGGGGTGTTCTTAATGTGGACTCCTGCTTAAGTTCTTATTTAAATCTATGTCTTGCTAGGGTGGGTGCATACAAATAAATATAGAGACTGAATTTTTTTTCCTGGAAAAAGTGCTGCTTCAGGCTCCTATTTCTGATAGTCATGCCTAGGCATTTGGTAAAGTGATCTCTGCTGAAGAGGAAGAACAGAGTTTAGACTGGATGATCCTCCCCTTAATCAGAGATGACAAGGCTTTTGGACACATGACCATAAAAGGAGGGAGTCTAAAGAAGACTTTTCTTCTAGAAAGGTAATACACCTCTTCTATTACTCAACCTCAACAATATAAAGTATATGTCTGCTTTTTCGCACTATAAGTCTAGCAGAAGCAGTCCTAAACCCTTATTGTTATCAGCTCTGGAGTAAGTAATATGTTTTATTTCTGTTGTAGCTGACATGGGCTTTGCTCGATTGTTCAATTCTCCTTTGAAACCACTAGCAGATCTGGATCCAGTTGTGGTTACATTTTGGTACAGAGCTCCAGAGTTGTTACTTGGTGCAAGACATTATACTAAGGCCATTGGTAAGTAACGAAATTAAAACAGAATTTTCTGTGATTGTTACTATTATCTCTCGCATAAGGGTCACATATTGTTGTACTTTCATGTCATTAGGGATTATTATTGTTATGATTATTATACAGGATGTATATAGATGTATATACAGTAAAGCCAACAGTTTGCACCGCGCTTTACATAATAAAGGAAATCAGTACAGTTTCAATGGAATTTAAAACAAAAGGATTAGGAGGGCTCCGCTCCTGAAAACGTACAATCTGAAAGGGAGGGGCAAGGGATACAAAAGGAAATAATTGTAAGGGATGAGCTGATAAAGTGCAAATGTTTAAGTTTGCGAGAAAGGCTTCACTGAAGAGATGAGTTTTGAGAGAACATCTAAAGGCAGATAGGGTAGGAGATTGTCAGACAGATTGGGGTAGGGAGTTCCAGAGGATGGGAGAGGCTTTGGAGAAATCCTGGAAGCCAGCATAGGAGGAGGTGATGAGGGAGTTAGAGAGCAGGAGGTTGGGAACGGAGTGGAGAGGATGGTTTGGGTGATATTTTGAGATTAGGTTAGTTATATAGCTTGGGGCAAAGTTGTGGGTGGTTTTGTATGTTGCTGTTAGTATTTTGCATTTACAGGTGAAACTCGAATAATTAGAATATCGTGCAAAGTTAATTTATTTCACTAATGCAACTTAAAATGTGAAACTAATATATGAGATAGACTCATTACATGCAAAGCAAGATAATTCAAGCCGTGATTTGTCATAATTGTGATGATTATGGCTTACAGCTCATGAAAACCCCAAGAACCCCAAATCCACAACCTCAAAAAAGTAGATTATTACATGCAATCAATAAAACAAGGATTGTACATAGAACAATATCGGACCTCTGAAAAGTACAAGCATGCATATGTACTCAGTACTTGGTTTGGGCCCCTTTTGCAGCACTTACTGCAATTACTTTTGCACGATATTCTAATTATTCGAGTTTCACCTGTATTTGTTGGGCAAGTGGAATCCAATGAAGGGATTGGCTGGGGGAGGACAGCAGACACTAAAAGTTGACTAGGTGGATAAGTCTGGCTGCAGCATTCATGATAGCCAGGAAGAAGGATAGCCTGTGTAAAGTCAGGCCAACAAGAAGGGAGTTGCAATAGTCAAGGTGAAAGATAACAATGGAGTGAATTAGTAGCTTTGTACCATCATTAGTTAAGAAAAGATTTTGGAGATGTAACAGACTTTAAGGTGGCAGTATTTGGACAGGGATTGGATTTGGGGCCAAAAGGAGAGGTCATAATAAAGGATTAAACCTAATCCTGTCACTCCAGGTTAGTCAATGCTTGCCTGCTATACCCAGGTGCTTCTGCAGCTTGTTTGCTGACAGACACTGTACAGGAAAATTGGATGACCACACACCAGCTATGTCCAAACTCTTTCCTCATTCTTTCATAAAAACCTTCACAGGCGCTTAGTCATAGTACCACTGTACATGAAATGCGTCAGAAATATAAATTGATCTCTTGTGTTATGCTTTTATGAAAGAAAGAGTTCAGACATAGCTCGTGTATGATCATCCAATTTTACAGCATAAACCTAGTACCCTGTGGTGAAGGATTCTATGGGTAACTGTTTTCTGGCAGGAGGGCAGGGGTCCTAAAGACAGGGATCGTGAGACACTGATAAGGTTGTGATCAATAAGATATGAGGGTTGTTGGAGAGGTTGCAAGGGGTGTGTCACTCTTGCACCCGGCACCTCCGACCTCTCCAGCGCCGCATCGCTTCGGACGTGACCTCCGCCCACTGACCGCGGCTTCCTCTCATAACCGCAGCGGAGGCAATCACTCGGCGTTCAGTTAATGTGGAACGTCGAGCGTTGTCTTCCTCTGCTTTCCACTGAAAACGACCGGCTCCCTACGCTCCACAGCCTGGATGTCCTCTGGGACACGTCTCACCACTAAACAGCCACTCAGCACTTGCAGGAAGGAGCGATTCCTCATCATAGAAACCCACAACCGCAAGTATTAGGGCTCTGTCCCTACATATGAATACCTGTGCTATTGCCTAATTCCATCCATTCTGCTGGAGTATTGCCTGTCTGTGCTATTGACTAAATTGATTCATACTGCTGGAGTATTGCCTGTCTGTGCTTTTGCCTAATTGACCCATACTGCTGGAGTATTGCTTGTCTGTGCTATTGCCTGAATTGATTCATACTGCTGGAGTATTGCCTGTCTGTGCTACTGCCTAAAATTATCCATACCGCTGTGGAGTAGTGTCTCCAGTTATTACTACCTATATACTGCCAGAGCATTAGAGCTGTTACAATACTAACCATATTAATAGGAGCTTCATAGGACTGTATATCCCAGGAGTGCGTACTTAGGCTTGCCTGCGGACTACAGTCCCATCAGACCCCACTGATCATTAATCTGATACCTGCAGGTAGAACAGGGTAGTGGTACACTACCTTTCCTTAAATCTAGGCTGGGATACATGATGTGCAACGGCTCCCCATCGCACTTGGTGTATTAGGGAGCCGTCTGACTGACCCAATCCCATCGCACTTGGTGTATTAGGGAGCCGTCTGACTGACCCAATCCCATAAGCCTACATGCAACAGACCTGCAGCTGTGGTCCAATCCCCCGCTACCTGCTTGATTGTGACAGGGTGTGTGTCATTGCGTTCAGTTGAGGAGTTGAGAGGTAGCTGGAGCATTAACGTTAACAAGAATGTTAGTCACCAAGAATGATAGTGGTTATTTCAAAGGAGAGAAAATAGAGTAGCTAGCAACAGAAACTTTGGGCTCAGTATAGATGGTAGCAGAGGCAGCTGCTGAATTGGGGAGGTTGCTGTAAGAAGGCTTTTGCAATGATGCTAAGAGTTCAGGAAGACTAGACAGGCGATAGCAGATCCAGATGCTGAAAGACACATGGGAGAGCTCAGATAGGTGTGTGTTTTGTTTGTTTGTATTTAGAGTATGCTTTGCTGTGTGTGTGTTTAGTGTGTGTCAATGTGTATGTGAGTTAGGGCCAGGTCACGCTAGCAATCCTGTCCGCTGGTGACAACCATCCAGAGACCATAAATTAATTTAGAAACAGTCACTCGCACTCCATATTAATTTTCAATCAATGTTTATTGACCTCTCATTGTGTCACATTGTCAAGCGTCGTTTTGGAAACACGCAGTTCCGTCTTCAGGCAAACAGCAAGAGACAGGATCACTATATAGATCGGAGAAAATACTGAACTAGCTCCTTGCATCGTTCCCTCACTGTCAAGATTGATAAGCTGTTGCTCTGTCACTGATGGAAACGTTGCAGGAAGTCAGCCATAAAGGGGAATTTTTCCTTCTACTGACCACCAACGTTAGGGGTATATCATTCTTATTCACACGACCATTTATGCAAAGGAACATTCTGTCTCATTCTGGCTACCAGTGTAAGGGGGCAAAAAAAACAAGATGTGTTCTTGTAGGAAATAAAATATGCTGTAGCTCAGGACCTCAACACAATACAACGCAAAAAATTACTTTTAAGGGGGACTTAAGCAGTGGATTAGGGCAGAATCAAGTGCTGGGAAGATTAGAACAGGCACCTTATGGTGCCTGCTGTACAGCCTCTGTTGCATTTGTTTTGTCAGTTTTTTCAGTTTAGAGCCACTTTAATCCCTTCGTGACGGGAGACGTACACTGTACGTCCCGCCACAAAGGGACCAAATGACTCGTCACGTACACTGTACATGATGAGTTATTTGCTGCATTAGAGGGCTGGTAACCGCTGAGAATCAACGGTTACCATTCATTAATGGATGCCTCAGTATAGAGTCATTCATTAATGAAAGGGTAAACCTTTTTCAGACACCTGATACCCTAATATCGGGTGTCTGAGAGTCAAAGCAGAGCGGGCAAACATGCCGGCAAAAGCCGGCATCCTGACAGCTCGTATAGATCTAGAGATATCTCTCGGATCGTATACTGGCTTTTTTTTTTCTTTCACTTTCAGGAATAGACACATAATGTATCTATTCCTGAAAGAAGAATGTTTCAGTTTTCTGAACGTTGTTGGAACGTTCAGAAAACATTTAGTGACAGCTGAATCCTGAACTGCTGCAGGATCAGTGTCACTAACTTATTATTGGCTGTTCTGAAGTTTGAAAAAGCCTAATAATAACCAAAACGTGGAAATGTGTTTAAGCCTCCAGGAATACATCCTACATGTTAAAAATGGAAAATGTGTACAATGTGTTTAACCTCCCTGGCGGTATGATTATGTCAGGAATTTTGTACCAAAAGCGGTACCATTTTTTGAGTGATATTTGTGTGTTCATATGTTCATACTTATGGTATGATCGTTTCCCAACCTGGCTGGTTTGGGTGAGTCTCTTTTATGTTAGGTGAGGCCAGCACCCACCAGTCGTACTTGCCTAGGATGGGGGCGAAGAGGGGACATAGAGTAAACTTATACAAAAACCTTTTCCAAGCCTAGTATATAGCTCTTAGATAAGTGGTGTCTCAGCATATGCCTGCATCACTTTCCTCCTCCTCCCTCCCCTTCCCATAACTTTCATGTTACTTTCTAGATATTCTTCCTGGTCTTCCTCTTTTTGTTCCTATTATTTATATTGTCTGTCAGTAATCTAATTAAATCATTTAATAGTACTGGGCCCTCTGTCTTTTCTGCTTTGTTGTTAAGGCTGCTTGAAGTAATAAAATAGTTTTAAATATTTTGGGTAAAGTATTTTTAAATATCTGCATTTCTATTAGAGCGGTTCATGAAAATGATGTGTCTTTTGCTTAGCATCAGTCTTAGTTGTTAAGAATAAAAATGATTTTGCTTAGACCGGATGCCTTTATATTAGTGAAAAATGTAGATATACATACACACACAGACGCAAACATACTTTTATTACTTTAGATTTAAAAGAGTGCCATACAGTTTCATATACAGCAATACAAAGAAAGACTTTTAAAAAAAAAAGTATAAGAGCATCAACAGGAAACAATCCAATGGAACAATAGG